ATGGAATGAGAGTATAATCTTTGAGTCACAGTTCTAGGGGCCATCCAACCAGAATGGCAGTCACTGAGCCACCTCCTGCAGATCGAGTTCCCGGCCCGATTAAACTGCTGTGCCCCAAAAGACCTGGCCTCAGCAGTGTACAGTGCAGTAGAGTAGCAGCAGACTGGCAGTCATGACACACTCCTCTCTTTCTGTGCCTGTTAGACACAAATGGATGATGTTGCCCATGGGCTGCAACATCATGATGTATCTGTGCCATTGTTACATTAGGGGAGGACAGTTTTGTGATTAAGTCACTGGACTGGGACTCAGGAGATCTGGATTCAGTTCCTAGCTCTGCCATTGACCTTGGGCAAGTCATTTAATTTCTCTGTGCCTCAGTCTCCCATCTGTAAATGTGGATAATAACACTTCCTCTTTTCCACCCTTGTCTGTTGAGATTGTGAACTCTGTAGGGCAGGGGCTGTCTCACACTAGGTGTCTGTACAGCACTTGGTACAGTTAGGCCCTGATCTTGGTTGGAGCCTAAAGACACTACTGTAATACATGTAATAATAATAATATGATCCCAGTCCTGCATGGTGCTGTGCTGTCCATTCCTATTAATATCAGTGGGTATCGAGGATGCTCAGCATCTCAAAGGATTCTTGATATTCATATATAGATTCAAAAGTGGTCAATTCTATTGACAATATTCTTAGCTATCGCCCCAATAATAGAGTTTCTGCTCAAGAATATTATTCCCACCCAACTGAGTATGTCTCTTAAAATCAGCTTTTGATTTGAGCCTTCTCTTATGCACTGTTTACTGTATCTTCCCTAGACAACACAAACAGACTAATATTAAACACTGACAGTGATATACATTTAAACACCTTCCTTTGATAAGCTTAAATGCCTACCTACTGTTAGATGTACTGTTTTTTTCTGTGATGGCTGCCCATTATATAAGTAAAGATCAAAGATGTGTTCCATTTTCCAGTCAGATAAGAGCAGCCTGTTTGTGCTGAAAAGAACACTGTATGTTCCATTGATGTTGCACAGCCAGATGGGTAATTTAGGAGTCTTCAGCATGCTTCCAACCTGGGGGGAAAAGGGTATTTCAAATATACTTTCATTATTAATAGGCACTTAATGTCTATGTTGCTTTAAAGGAACATTAGTTTTACTGCTCTGAATACAGAGTTACTATGAGGTATTACTGTCCATTTCCTCTAGTAATATCTCTACAGATACCTTTTAATCAGGAAATGAGTAAATAAGTCAAGGTGGTATGAATGATATATATCGCAAGTTGAACTCCAGCTCTGATGAAATCCTCACCTGTGCTTTCATGTCTATTGATTTACAACAGCTGAGGATCTCACCCACTGTGTTTTAGCTTGAGAAGTGCACTTTGCTTTATGGATAGTGTAATAAAAAACCTCCAGTAAATCCTAAGCCTGGGAATATATTTATGGGAATCAGCTTTTAAAAATAACACTGACATAATAGGGTTTCAAATGGTCTAAGAAAGGGTCAGATAATGAACGGGTTGTAGCCAGTTCAACAAATTGAAGACCCAATTCCGCAGTCCTACGTACATTCTAAAGTGCATTTGTGCAATTGCTAGTGAACACTGGTGCTATTCTGCCAGTAGTTCTGTGTGGTAATGTAAGCAGCTAACATCAGCATCTGAAAATGTAGAAAACAAACAGTGGTATGATGTGGTGTGACCGAGGAGAGGAAGGTGTATTCAGCGGGGTTTGAAGGGCTGAACATTACAACAAGGAGAGTCTTTCTAAAAGTATGTAATCTATTTCTCCCCACGAGTAGCAGTGAATTCTCCCAGTCCAGTATGTTTCCAGGTAGTCTGAGCATTGCAGTATCCTCCAGGACCTGCTTCATAATGTCTCTTCATAGAAACCTCAGACCTCTGGGCTAGGTTCTGATCTCAGTTACTCTGGTATAAATACACAGGAACTCTCTTGGGCATAATTCTCTTTTCGCTTACTTAAATAGGTTTTAGGGCTGTCAATTAATCGCAGTTAACTCAAAAAAATTAACTGCGATTAAAAAAATTAATCACGATTAATTGCACTGTTAAACAATAGAATACCAGTTGAAATTTATTAGATATTTTTGGATGTTTTTCTACATTTTCAAATATATAGATTTTTTTTTTACAACACAATACAAAGTGTACACTGCTCACTTTATATTATTATTTTTTATTACAAATATTTGCACTGTAAAAATGATAAACAAAAGAAATAGTATTTTTCAGTTCACCTCATACAAGTAC